ACAGCCAGACCAGAGATTGCTTCATTCAAGTTTAAGAACTTGAGGTCTATTTTCTACTTTTAGAACCCTCATAGTTAACTTTTACAGTGCCTGAGGATCATCTTTGTCATATTTTGCCTCATATTTTCTATTCTTTACCTTTTCCAGGGATTTCTTTAACTTTATCTTCCTTAATTGAATATATTTATTTGTCAGTGTATATACCATATAATTTCCACAGGCTCTCTTATTCTCTGACCTTTTTCATAACATCTTATTTTTATTTTCCAAGTGAAATTCTTCAGGAAGTTGTACATTTGCTCCCTTAACAAGCTGTATACATCACATGGTTGTCAATAATAATATGATTGTTTTCAATGCTATGGATAAACACTATTACAAAATATTAGCGTGGCCAAGTGACCTGAATTTAGTAAGTGTCAACCATATACAAGCATAAACGCCTAGAAAGGAAGTGACACTGCTTAGTAATTTTACTTACATAAAATTAAAATGTAAGGTTATAGTTACACCAAGTAGTAAGAATGACACCACAGCTATGGTGGTAAGGAGAGATAGCAGCTTTAGTGGACCGTCAGTGCTGCAATTATGCTGATATAACAGTGCAATGGAACATTCGGTGATAGATCCTCAAGGCAAGGCTTTCTGAAAATGTTAAGTTTTGGGGAAAAAAATTCTAAAGAAGAGCCATGTGACTAAAAAGTAATTTTCAGGAACAGTATATCACTGACTGTTTAATTGGATAGTAAAAAACACAATGCTTTGTTTTCTTCCTTAGAAATATACAGTACTTTCTATCTTACAAAGGAAGTCTTCCTTTGTAAACATTAGTATCTTTTCTTAAAAAATTACTACACAGTTCTCAATCTCACCTCTATTCCCTAAAACCAAAAAATACTCTTCAATACTATTCTAATACTTCAAAACAAAAGAATTATTCAAATCAAGCCTCTTCACTGAGATTGTTTAAGAACTTAATTGTGCCTTTGTTACCTCTGAACAAACAGATAAAGAGTGGGCCAAGGAGGAACATGACCTTGGTAGTAATTACACTGTTCCCTGTATTCATTATTTGTTTAGCAGTACATACATGTTTTATGTACTTTTATATATCACCAAAAAAGAATAAATAATATGTATTTTTAAACAGCTTCTTTTACAGAAATTTCTTTAAGTAAAGCAAACTAAAGATCTACTTTAAATTTACTCATTCCAGCTGTCCTTTTAAAGACCTTAAGGAGCAAAGATGGAACAAAAGCAAAAACAAAACAAAATTTGCCTTACTCTTATTTATATCTTTCAAGAAAAGTCTCAATGTGGCTAGATAGACTTAAAACATATTTCCAAGTAAAGCATTAAAATTAATATAGTTAAATACTGCAAATTTCCTCTTTTTCTAAATTTAAAGATTATTACACATTAAGTGGAGGAGGCGCAAATTCATTTCCTTTTTATTTGGCCTATATTCCCTAGGCCTTTTAATTGTCTAAAGAAACAGCATTTTGACGGTGTGCTTTGATTTTGGACCTGTAGTACTTCCGTGTTCCTTCCCAAATATATTAATATGCCTTTGTGGTTTGTACCAAACCACCCACCTCCTCTGGTGAGGAGGACATTGGGCTCTGATGTCTCTTCTCTACTCTGCAGTTAGAACCATGCTTTTGAACAGTTAATACTGTACCCTGTTCAATCTGCTGTGAGCACACTCCCAGAATACTGATTCTACTGCTTAAGACCATTTCTCAAGTTCCCCAAACAGACTGCCATTAAGGCCATTTTTCTCCCCAGAAGCTGGCAATAATGACCATTGTCCTTCTAGATAGCAAGGGAGTGGTTATTTCCTGGCAGTGTGTCTTTAGGTCAGCATAATTTTATCACCGTCTATGGATAAACAAATAGTATTTTAGTTTATATCTCTTAGATTAGAAATGGAAATGCTCTGAGGGGATACTATCCTTATTTTTTGGCTTAGGTCTTCTTCACTCAAACATCCTCCTTCAGAGTTATCTGTCAGTCTTCTGTTAAGAAGAAACCACCCTAACTAAATGTGATTCTTCCTTTTCTGGTTTGAAAAACACAGGAGAATTATTCTGTAGTGTTCAGTTCTTTTGAAGTTCTTTTAGGGTAGGAAAAGTCTTATTTTAACTAGAAATAACCAAATACTAGTTTATTACACCTGCAACAACTCTCACAAGCGCTGTACAAAAGAACAATGTGGCTTCCATTTCTAAGTCACTAGAGTTTTTTAGAATTTTTTCCTATTGAGGCACCCAAACACATAATATTATATTGAGCCAAAAGGACCAATTCTCTTCATGGAGGAGAATTTCAATTGGTTGTTATTCATTAAATTCCTACAGCAATGAGCAATGACTTGCTTTCTTGTTTTGTTTCTCTTTGAATGGAGATGAAGTTGACTCTTCTCCAAGGCTGCTTCCCATCACCAGCATCCCTGCCCTTGACCTATGTAGCTGTTAATATGCTGCACACATATGAACTCCAGTAGTTAACTGCAACTGAATTCAACCTCAACAATCAATGCAGTTAACCTTTCTGTTTATTCCAAGTGAGTTCCTAGTGAAATTGAGTTTTTCCCCTTTCTAAATATAGTAATTATATCTGGTACAAAAAATAAATATAATTCACTGGTTTTCAGAATTTTTTTCCCCAAGAGTTTCAGAAGCCATGGGTTCTCATATTCTATTTGACAAAGACATGTCCATTCATGATAATTCCAAAAGGTGGGCTGCTGTAACTACTTCACAAATATAGTAATTACCTCTTATGCATTTGGCAGGTAATTACTGGAGGCCATGTGTCACCTTTATTTCAAAGAGAAATTAATTCCTTTGATTAAACACAGCTGAAAAGTTATCTTCATATTTTCTGGAGTAAAACACTGGAAACTATACCAAAAGATGCTTTGTTATGATGATGCGTATCCCAAGGTACTCCTCCATACTCATACCGTAACTGCCTAGTAACCACTGCACCCCTTCAAAGACAGGAAGCTCCTGGAAGGTGGGGATTATATCATAATGACTATTTTATCTGCAGGGCACATGGTTTGGCAGGTGGTACACAGTGAATATTTCTGTTTGTGTTAGCATTAAAATCATTTCAAAAGTCCAATTCTTAATTAGCTACAATTTTAGACAAACTGGCATACCAAGTGCCCCAACATTTAAAGAACAAGCTTTTATCACACATTATCACAGTTCAAGTAGATATGCCCAATATCAAATACCTGATAATCTCTACCTAAACACTGAGTATCTTTATGGAAGGCAGAAGAAACAATTTCAATTTGTGAGTTTTAAATTTTTGTTGTGATTCAGACCCTACTACTAACTAGTGATAAACTTTGACAAATCACTTTAACTATGTTGGATCTTGTGTCCTTAGAGATTAAAGTGTGGAACTGGATTAAATAAATGATCTCCAAGTACCAGAGAAGGGCTCAACTCTAACAGTCTGATTAGGTGTGGACCAATAAGGGTAGTAATACTGCTGTAGATGCAGGTATAGCAGGAACTTGTCAGCACTAGAGGGAGCTACACTCATGCCATCACTGGGGTGATAGGAGATTTCAAGGCAAAGCGTCTTTAAATGGAAAACTGACATAACCAAATGAGAGAAATTAAGTATCAAGTGAGAGATCCATAATATTCACACAGCCACCTCATACACAGGCTGTCTGCTGGCACCTCCCTCTTACAGATACCAAAGTACCTCCCATCAACACATCTCCTGGGCTTTATTTCTAATTCCAAAAGAATCAAGATGATTTGAATCATTCCTACAGATTTCTTTCCCCATTAATTTTCCTTCTTATTCAAGTAACAGCAACAAAAAAGCAAAATAATTAACTATACTATTGGAAAAGCCCCAAGGAAATGAGACAGAGGAAGGAACACATTCATATCACATACATTCAAAAAGAAGAGAGATAAAGGAAAAGAAGGACTCAGTATAGCCCTAATGGTAGGAGCTGCAGTGTCTGCCTAAGTGAATGCTGTCACTGCCCTGTTGGGCTTTGCAGCTGCCAAAGAGCGATGTCATTAAGTAGAGGCAATAGGGTCACATTAGGCATTGAGCAAGAAAACTGTTAAGGGACAAGATAAGGAAACAGAGCATGAGGTAGGGAAGGAAGAAGAAAAGCATTTCCAAAGCTAAAGCTAATTTTGAAGTTATTATATGCATTCACATTCTGTCTCTCCCTCCCCAGCCTCTTTCCCTCCTTCTCCCATTCCCTCTCCCAGCTCTAAAAAACACCCATGGCCTTGTAGATGTGCGACCTAAAGCCATTACAGAACAAGTAAAATGCAGAATCATACCTCTCCATTGGTATCAACTTATGTTTCTCTCTGCCCAGAAACACAAGGGCATGTTAACCTGATAGAGAGGGCATAAATTGTGGATATTACAGAATGTGGTCTGTGTGAGAAAGATAAATGCAATCCTGAAGAACCCCTTTTATTTAAATTTCATGGATTAATTTAACATGGAGAAAGCAAAGCCTCAACAGTCAGAACTGGATTGTGTACTTTTTAGGACATGAGCTATTTCTGAGTAAAAATAGATTATGAAGCAACTTTAGAGAATCATTTTGTGAGAGAAGAGAAAACCTACTAGAACAAGACAAACAATTCTTTTTTCACTCAAAAAAAAAAAAAGCAAACTCAGACCTCCAGAGGTAAAATATAGAGTCAAATGCACCAGGTTAAAATAAACTTTTCCTATGGACCCAAATAGCTGGATTCTTATTTCTTATATCATCATCAATTTCAAATACTTTAGAGGTATCACAGCCTTAACAGACTCAAAATTTTTTTTCCTTTTTCTTTTAGGACATTAAAAAAATTTTAATGGCCCTTTCGGTCAATGAGCCTCATGGGAAGGATGAGAAAAATATACTGTTAAAAGGAGAACGACTTGTTGTCCTTGCTTACTTAGGACACATGCCAATGCATTTCCAATTCACTCTGTTTCATACTGACCTTTAAAATGTTTCTGCCATCAAATGATTCTCTTTCCTTGAAGATATATTTGCCATCTGCTGTGTAGAGATTGTACCTGCCTTCAGCTGTAAATATTGCAAAGAAAATGTCAGAAGAGAAGCGTGGACTATTTATCTGTTTGTTTTCTCTTGGATTGCTTTTTTTATTTTTTTGCAGATTTTATTTACTTATTTTTAGACAGAGGTGAAGAGAGAGAGAAAGAAAAACATCAGTGTGTGGTTGCCTCTAGTGCACCCTCTACTGGAGACTTGGCCTGCAAGCCAAGCTTGTGCCCTGACTGGGAATCAAACCGGCGACCCTTTGGTTTGCAGGCCACTGCTCAACCCACTAAGCCACACTAGCCAGGGCTCTCCTGAATTTCTATAGGTACAACTAGCAAAATCTCCAAGTGCTATCTGCAAAGCAACATAATAGGGAGTGAAAACATCAGGGTATGAGTCAAGAGAACCAGTGTCTTGTCTCAGCTCTGTCATCAACTCACTCACTATACATTTATTCATTCGATATTGTCCAAGGTCTCACTGTACATTAACTATGTAACTTAGCTATATTTTTAGTCAAATTATGTCTCTGCTATGCACCTCAGTTACAAAGTTACAGGTTATGACTAGGTGATTCCCAAAGGTTTCTTGCAATCTAAAAACCTAAGGTTTTATAGAGCTGCATGTATTTTGAAATATGTAAAAATACACAAAAGTTCACACATGCACTTGTGGAAAAATGCTGGCAACAATGCTTTGGGTTGTTTTAAGGACTATCCCTACATTAGAAGGCCCCTTTAGTTGCAATCAAAGGCATCCTAACAGACATTCTACACAGAAATGTAGCAAGTCTGTGTACGACCTTTGCCTCATCAAAGCTGCACTCTTAACTCCTTGAGTTAATTTAGCTTGCTTATCCCTAAAGATGTCCTTAAAATACAGCAATTAAAGAATATCAAAGGAATGGGATCACAGGAAAGAAGGCAAACAAACTTATTATATGTCCCTTTCATGTAAAAATTCAACACAGAGAAGAATACAGGGTATAGAAAATTCAAAGCCTCCTCAATAATTTTAACTCTCAGGATATTTTCCAAAATATCAACACTTTCTTGCCCACCAATACTCTCAAAAATATTTCTATTTCCACTTTTAAGTATGGTCTTTTACTGTATATAGGTATAGAGACTACCAACTCAGAACTGACAAAATATATTGAGTGCTAACTCCATTTTCCTAATGAGAAGTATTCTCTTAATCAAAGGTCCCAATTCCTTTCGTATCTTACAACTTACAAAAGGTCCCCTGTTAAGAGGAGATGTGGAATTTTAAAGTAAATCATACCAAATAAATATCAATTAAAAGGTGGTCATTTTTATCTGAAGATTGAAATGTTTAATGACAGTCTCAAAATCTGTAAGTGGCATTAGTCATTAGGGAAATGATAACCAAAACCACAAGGAGATAGCACTTCACACCACAGAATGGAATAATCAAAAAAGACAATAGCCAGTATTGGCAAAGATGTAGAGAAATTAAAATCCTCATACACTGCTAGTGGGAAGGTAAAAAGGTACAGCCACTTTGGAAAACAGTCTAGCAGGTTCTTTAAAAAGTTAAATGTAGAGTTATCGTCTGACCCAACAATTTCACTCTTAAGTATAGACCCCAAAGGAAATGAAAACATGTGCCCACGAGGTTACAAAACCTCATGTGTAAACATTCACAGCAGCATTACTCTCAACAGCCAAAAATGGGAAACAACACAAATGCTCATCAACTGACGGTTGGATAAGTAAAATGCGGTGTATCCACAGTGGAATATTATTCAGCAATAAAAAAGAATGAAGTGTGATACATGTTATAACATAAATGAACCTTTCAAACATTATGCTAAGTAAAAGATCACATGTTACATGACTGTATTTATATGAAATATCCAGAAAAGGCAAATTCATACAACAGAACATAGACTGGGGGAGCCTGGGACTGGAGAGTTGCAGGGGAATGGGAGTCACTGCCGAAAGGTATGGGGTTTCTTTCTGGGGTGATGAAAATGTTCTAATGTTGATTGTGGTAATGTTTGCATAACTCTGAGCACACAAAAATATCACTGAATTATATTATTGAAGTGGGAAAATTATATATTATATAAATTCTATCTCAAGCTGTTGTATTTAAAATATCCATAAATAGGTAATGATCACTAAACTGTGAACACAGAACCTTTTTCTTATATGAAGCTCTAATACTAACCGAATATAAATCTGGATCCACACAATTTAGAAGACACAGATTCCTCTATAATTCAACTCTTTTATGTTAAGAGATTAGTTAAAATGGGGGAATGGGATGCCCTGGCTGGTGTAGCTCAGTGGACTGAGTACCAGCCTACAAACCAAAAGATTCTTGGTTCAATTCTCAGGACACATTCTTGGGCTGCAGACCAGATGTCCATTTAGGGGTGTGAGAGAGGCAACTGATCGATGTTTCTCTCCCTCTCTTCCTCCCTCCCTTCACCACTTTTTAAAATTAAACAAATAAAATCTTTTAAAAAGTTTTTTTTTAATGGGGGGTGGTCTAGTTGGCTGAACTCTGAACTAAGATTTAAGGACTAGGTCAGATGTGGAATATACTATCAGTAGTATTAAATGTCTAATAAAATACTGTCTGCACCTGCACTGTCTAAAATACTGACTACAACCACAAGCGATTATTTAAATTTATTTATTTTAGTATTAACAATTTATTATCATAGTATTCACTAACTTTAGACGGGCTGGATAGAAATGTTCTCTAAAGTGTTAAGTGAAAGAATGTAATGATTTCAGTTTAATTCCCTGTTGCACTGAAGTCATTCTAGAAAGAGAAAATAACCATCGGCATATATCATATTAAAGGTCTGAATCTCAAAAGCAACTCTAATCTTCAGCTGGAACAACAAAGTATCTAAAAAATACATCTTGAGTCTACTGAAATATCATCATTCTGAACCAGTCTGCCTTTATAAACTTAAATAAAATTAAATTAAAAGTTCACTTTCTGCCCTGGCAGGGTGGCTCAGTTCATTGGGCACCATTCATACTCTAAAAGGCTGCAGGTCTGACCTCCAGTCAGGGTACGTACTAGGGTTGTGGGTTCAATCCCTGGGTTGGAGCATGGAGGGAGACACCTGATCGATGTTTCTCTCCACCTACCCCCACTTCCTTTCTCTCTAAAATTAATAAACATATCCTCAGGTGAAGATTTTTTTTCAAAGTTCACTTCCTCAGTTTCACTAGCCACCTTCAAGTGCTAAATAACCATATGTGGATAGTGGCTATCATATGGGACATAATAGATACAGAATATTTCTATCATCACAGAAAGTTCTATTGGATGATACTACATAAAATATGTCTTCTAAACTAATAAATTTGTTTATTAGTTTAGTTTGTTTATCTTCTATAAACTAATATATCTTTTAAACTCTAATATATAGTTTGTTTATCTTCTAAACTAATATATCTTCTAAACCCTAAAATTCTGCCTTTACTTAACAATGTTAAAATGTGTACCACCAGCCCTGGATGATGTGGCTCAGTGGATTGAGTGCCAGCCTGGGAACCAAAGGGTTGCCAGTTCAATTCCCAGTCAGGGCACATGCCTGGCTTGTGGGCCAGGTCCCCAGTTGGGATGCATGACAGGCAACCACACATTGATGTTTCTCTCCCTCTCTTTCCCCCTCCCTTCCCCTCTCTAAAAATAGATACAAATCTTTTTTAAAAATGTACACTTCAGGGATCTATTTTCTAAAATTAAAATTGACTTTCCAGAACAAATACCATAAATTCCTTTAAATGGTCCCAATGTGTAAACTATATTATAATAAATAAATATTAAATATTCCAGAAAAATTTTCCAGAATATTCTTCTAGAATACTACTATCCAAATGAAAGAAATGTAATCTACCAGAACAATAACAAGAATAGAGCTTTAGATTCTATAAACTACCCAAACAAAACTGAGCCATGTGAACCTTTCTGATCTCTGCTCCCAAAGGTAAAATAGTAATTTATTCAGAAAAGTCTTTAAAAAAATATAATCTAGTATCTGAAAACATTAACAGTGCAACTAAAAACTGGATAGCTACACATCTCTTAGTCCTATAATGGCTTTAACCGAATGGGGTTAATATTAAATGACTTCCAGTTAGGATCTTTGGTGTATATCTGAGAGAAATAAAAGAATGTACTTTGACAAAAAGCACATAAAAACTGTCCTAAACTATAAACCTAAAAATAGTTTATGGGTTTGAGTCCTGATGGAATCCTCTCCAAACCCATATTTTCTAAAACCAAGGTCAGGGGCCCAACAAAGGAAAAAAAACATAAATATGGGGCTTGTTCTTCCTGGCTTGCTGTCTTCCAGACATGGCAGCCATCTGCCTCCCCACCTGGCTGGCTCTGGAGCCCTGAAACCAAGCCCATGTACAACAGAGAGAACATCAAGATCTGAAAAGCCACCCAGAAGAAAGGCACTGCCTCCTAGAACTGGCCTAGTGTTTACCCTATTGCAGCAGCATTTAAACTCTCTGCAATACTGTCCTGGCCAGCATGGATCAGTTGGTTGATTGTCATCCTACAAAGTGCAAAGATGCTGGTTCCAAACCGGTCGGGGCACATGTCTGGGTCGCAGGCTGGTCCCCTACTGGGGTGTGTGCAAGAAACAATCTTTCTCTCCTCTTTCCCCCTCCCTTCCCCTCTCTCTAAAAATAAATAAAATCTTTTAAAAAAAACCTTCTGCAATACCTCTTCCTGTTCAAAGGGGTTATCCCACAGAAAGGGGGTGCCCATAGCAAAGGAGAGAAATCTTGAACTTTTAAAGAGCCCCAATTTTCTGCATTTGGATTCTATAGCAATCAAAAGCTCTGTGAAGTTCTTACAGATTTCTGCACTGAGTGGCCAGCAGAACTAGATAGTAATTAGAAATGCCAAAACCATTTTCCAATTGAAATTGACACAGCTGATCATGTTTCATCAGGAAATTTCACCTATTTGAAATTTCAAAGCACAGCAGTAACCTTAAGGGTTAAACTTTCCAGTTTGAATTTAGATGATCATGCGAAGAAACTTATTAAACTTGTAGGGGAGCAATACTGCAACACCACAGATGCTGTTACCATCAAAACAGGTGCCCTTTAATGAGACAGAATTAAGATTATGTAATGTATCTGCTACCAGTTTTATACCATGAGTCTTGGAAAACTGAGGAATGTGAGAAAAATAATAGTGAAGCAGACATGTTAGAGTATATATAGAAAAATAGCTCCTCAAAAAAAAAAAAATCCCAGAAACACTTCTCCAAATTAAAGCCACAGAGAAAAACCTCAGAGTAAAGAAGAGCTCCTTGGTAACAAAGAAGTTAAAGATTAAAAAAAGTGTTGTGTCTCAAGAATGAGGGGGACAATAAAAACACCCTTTCTCAGTACAAAGAATCAGTGACGAGACTATTAAATTCAATATGAATTACGTAGAAAAATATGCTTAATTAATTTTATTGATTCATATGTAATTGTTAATGTTTAAAAAAACATTATTTTACTTCATAGTTAAAATGATTCCTTTAATACCAATGCACAATGGCAATGGTAACTGACAAATTTTCTTATTTTTATTCTGGGGCCAGTGATTTTCAACAAGTGTGCTGCAAGAATTTTTACTACATACAATACCTGACTATTTAGTCAGAGGCATTGACCTCTTTTCTCTTAAGACTGTCAAATTTAAAAAAATGACAACAGCCAACACAACAACAGCTGTCCAGTGTGAGTGAATCAAAATTATACTTATTTTTTGCCAGATCAGCAAAAATACAATATATTTTTGGCATGCCACAGAATTTTACTAACTAGTTTATGTGTGCTGTGAGATGAACAAGGTTGAGAACTGCTGCTCTGGGGCAATTAGACTAATTAGAGCTCTATGATTTCTTCTGGTCCTAAAATGTTCTGATTTTATTACTACCATAACAACTTTAAATTTTAAATATACATAAATATATATATAATACATATAGTTACTTCTGTCCACTGATACATTTTTCCCTACACATAAGCACTTATTTGATGCTTTTAAATTCTAATTTTGGTTATTTGGGAAGCCAGGCCCAGAGCCCAGTCCCCTGGCTGCGGTTCAGTGTTTTGTCTTCATAACTGCTACCTGCTCAACGCGTTTTCGCAGATGGCAATTCCGATTAGAAACAGGTCTTTGGGAGTGTTTTCTAAGCTAAAAAGTTGGTTCCATCCGTCTATTTTGGGGTCCCTTTATATTGATTTAATTCTGTTCACTTTCTATTTTCTGGGGCTCATTTCTCCAAATGAAGCTTGCAGAGAAGTGGAAATGGAGATTAACTGTTATTCATTTCTCGATTCCCCAGTTAGTGCTTTTACAGCTCAGGAAAGAGATGAGGTATAAATAAGGACCTTGAGTTTAAATGTAGCAAATGACAAAATGAGAACTGTCCTAAGAAACATACCATTCACTTGAGCTGTCAACTCAGTATTTTTAAGTATATCTGTAAGTCATTCTTACTACTTCTAAAGTTGTCCACAAGTGATTAATTTAAAACCAAAATAAAGGAATTACTGAAGCAAAAAAAACCAAACTAAATATGAAATTTTGGTGCCGGTAAATTTTAAATAATAGGTCTTTGAAAGAGAAGCTGCAAATAACTTGAATCTGTGGCTCTTGATCAAACAGATGCTGAATGTGTAGAGAAGCCTTCACTTGGGGAGTGGGGATAGAAAGAAAAGATCCTTTTTGAAATGCAGATCATCCTATTTAAAATGTAGGTATTTAAATTTTTTTAACTCTATTATTATTGCTGACACTATTACAAATGTCCCCATTCCACCCCTACCCTGCTTTGTCCACCTCCATCCAGCCCATCACCACACTGTAGTCTGTGTCCACGGGTTATGCTTACATGTTCCTTTGGCTAATCCCTTCACCTTCTTCCATCCAGGCCCCCACTCCCCTCTGACAGCTGTTGGTCTACTCCATGTATCCATGCCTCTAAAATAAGGCATTTTTATATAAAGGCTCAGATTCCATAAGGGAAAAAAAACATTACTCTAATACGAGGTTTCTCAACCTTGGTGCTATTGACCTTTTGGACTGAATAATTCTTTGCTGTGAGGGTTTACACTGTGTGCTGTAGAGAGTTAAGCAGTGTCCCTGGCCTCTGCCCACTAGAAACCTGCCTCTAGCCCCTGTGACAACCGACAATGTCCCCGACACTCCCAAATATCTTCTGGGGGGGCAAAACTGCCCCTAGTTGAGAACCACTGGTCTAACATTTTCTTTTACTAGCTAATCTTCCTTCTTTTTACTTTTCAAAATAAGCCAACAAGTATTGCATAGGACATACTTATACTAAAATCATTAATTATTGTTTACCCCAAATTTGCCTGGGCACCCTGTATTTTTATTTGCTAAATCTCGCAACCTCATGTGTGACAGCAATAAAAGATTTGGTATGCAGTCTACGGCCATACCACCCTGAATGCACCCGATCTCGTCTGATCTCGGACGCTAAGCAGGGTCAGGCCTGGTTAGTACTTAGATGGGAGACCACCTGGGAATATTGAGTGCTATAGGCTTAAAAAAAAAAGATTTGGTATGCACCAATCTTATACTAGATATGTCCCTGCACACTTCCACTATGCTCATTAAAACAAGCTAACAGCGAACCACATGATCGTGGTTCGATTCCCAGTCAGGGCACATGCCTGGGTTGCAAGCCACTTCCTAGCAGGGGACTCACAAGAGGCAACCATACATTGATATTTCTCTCCTTCTCTCCTTCCCTTCCTCTCTAGAGATAAATAAATAAAATCTTTAAAAATAATAATAAAATAAAATAAAACAAGCTAACAGATCAAAAAAAGAAGATATAGCAGAAAGCCTTTGACAGCCCATTCTATTCAAACTCCCAGGATGGGATCATTTGGCCTTACTAATCGCAAACTGTGCTACATCTCTCTGGAGGACTTACCATTGGGGTCTTTCCTGAATAGAGTATTCATCACGGTAGCATGGAGTTTCACACTATTCCACTCTTTTACTATTAATCCGGATGCCTGAAAACGTTCCAGCACTCGATCAACTAATTCCTGCAGCCTGGAAAATTTTAAGAAAGAAATACAGAAATTTTAGTAAACTCTTGAACCCCTGATTACTAATTCAACATTTATGAAGCATCTGCTCTGGGCCAATCACTGTACAAGGCCCTGCATAAGAGGAAGAATAAAAGACTGCAGTCCTGTCCATCATGCAGCTGTGGCCTTGTGAAGGAGACCAACATAGACACAAATAACTGTGAAACATGATGGTGAATGTTAAGGGAGTGTCAACTGAACAGGGGGAGGGACAGGTTTCCACAGGAGGTTTAAACATGGTCTTGAAGAAACACGGGAGTTTATCATTTTGAGAAGACAGCTCAGAAAGCCAGGCTCAACAGAGTTGCCTGAAAGGAAGTGCTTAATTAGTTCATCCAGTCACAGAATCCAAAACCAGCGTGGTTAATGTGTTTCTGCCAGGATCAAGGGAGGTCTGGTGCAACTTGAAGACCTTTGCTCACTGGGAAGGAGTGTGCACGTGAAGATTCCAGTAGCTCTGGACACTGTATCAGTGTTTCAGTAAGGTGAACACACAGTACCAATAGAGAGAGCTACATATAAGAAAATCTACAGACTGCATGACTGATTCCCCTTATGGACTCACTTCAGGTGGTGGTAAGTTCTGCAGTGGATGAGCTCTATCTCAATGATAGCCCCTCATTCTGTATGTTATCTCCACCACAAGTGATTCTTGCACTGGAAGTTTTCGTTCTGTTCAGGTGTTTGCTAAAAAGCTTAGAGAATTCCTTTTATATTTCTTGTAAGGCCAGTTTAGTAACGATACGTTTCTTCAGCTTTTTTTTTTTTTTGGTCTGGAAAACTTTTTTCTCTTCTTCAGCTCTGAAGAACTACTTTGCCAGTAGTGCCAACAGGAGGAGTCACTATCCCAGCAAGTCTGTGGCCAAGTGGATGTTGGTTCTAGGCCTCAGGAAGCAGCCATGTTCTGTGACCACCCACTCATCTGATGATAAAATTTAGCCTGTGGCTTTTATATATTGTGCCAAAACGTCACCCTGACCCTAAAATAGCTCTCACTGAATGTTGGCACTGACTGAGAGGTCACATCAAATGACAGACCAGTGCACCTGGGGACAAGCAAAGGGAGGAACCTGCACCTTTCAACCTTTGTCTTGGCCTTTTTTGAGATTTGTGCTGCATGCTAATTGACTTCCCTGGCTCAAAATTATCTTTTAGTAAGTCACTAAATGTGCTAAGGAATAATAGATTTCACAGTTTCTAGATTTTACATTTTTAGATGTACTAGTAAGTACCCTCGGTATCAAACACCACCACTTTTCTTGGATTCCAGTAGCACTGAGGTATCTTCAGGGTTCACAAAATCTCCCATTGTTTCCTGGGAAACAGGAAACAGGGCTGGGTGGGTTTGTTTCATGTGAGATGTGGGCCCGTCCACCTTGTGTGGCCCACTGGCGGGAGCTTACCTCAAGCAGTTGTTCTTGCTATAGCAGCTGAGTTGCTCAAGCCCTCCCTCCAAGTGAACAACAGCCTCTGGGACCCCTGTCCTCCGTTATCACTCACTCCCTTAGATGTGGGCAAAATCACTCTTTTCTGCTTGCGCTGTATCCACGGCAGCGAGAGGGATATTCTTCCCTGGATATTGACTCAGGAGCCCAGAACTATTCCTTTCCCCTTCATAGTTTTCAGGTTCCAAAGTTCCAAATTAATCTTAAAATTCTAATTTATCTTAATTATTTTTATCAACTGCTGTCTGCTATCCAAAGAATATTTATAAATAAGTAAACCACAATTAATCATAATAAAATAAAAACCCATGTCCCCTCCACCAAACTTCAGAAATAGAGCACAGGATTAGGACTAAGGGACAAAGGGGGGTGTCTAAAAAGTAACCAAGATAAATCATGGCTTAATGGCATGATTTTACTTTAAATTTTTAAAAATATTTTATTTATTTATTTTCAGAGAGAGGGGAAGGGAAGGAGAGAGGGAGAGAAACATCAATGTATGGTTGCCTCTCCTGTGTCCTCCACTGGGAACTGGCCTGCAACCCAGGCATGTGCCCTGACTTGGGAATGGAACCGTGGTTCTTTGCTTCACAGGCCCACACTCAATCCACTGAGCTACACCAGCCAGGGCCAAAATTTTGTTTTAAAAAATCAAAATTAAATGCAAAAAATATATACATTGAACACAATATCAAAATTCTGAAGGAAGATGGGATCAGAAATAACACTAAGCTCCTTTGCCTTAGACTGCAGCGCAGCTTGGCATGGGGTAGAACATTATAATACAGCAGTTCCTTGGGATGCTCTCTGCTCTAGAGATCCCAGTAGCAACCTGCTGTCTGTCCCGGCATCTGCTGGGGCAGCCTCATGACCCCAGCACTCTTTAATACACATTTTCTCATCAGGACCTCTCCACTTAGCAACTTGACACCTCTGTGCCTCCTGTTCCCTGGGCCACAGTAGCCATCTCCTCCCTCCCTCCACCTATGCAAATTGTACCATCCTTCCAAGCCCCAATTCAAATCCTACTTTCCCATTTAGCCTGTATAACTACCCTAACAGCTCTACTCTCCCCGTATCTGTGAGCAGTGATTTTGTCCTTCTCTGTAATGCTGCCCCTGCTCACTCAGGTGTTCTCTACTTAGGATTCTCAGAAATGGTCCCTTAATATTTCAAGTTTGTCTTGTTCTCCTACTAGATTGTAAGTTCCTTAAGAGCATTATACTTGTCTCATATCTTCCAGAGCATAATTATACTTGGCTTTCAATGACAGTTGACTCTGATTAGTTAACTGATGAATTTGATTATGTAGAAAGTGAGAAATGAATGCAAAAAAATAAAGCAAAATACGAATAATGATATAAAATAAACATGGTCTTGAAGAATCATTAAAGATTTGTAGGTAATAGCAGGAATGGAAGGACTTGACTTCAAGCAATAGAAATAACATGTGCGAAGATGGCACAGCATTCAAGATCACAGTTTATTTGGGAAAACTGCCAATTATTTAAAATAGCTATAGCAGAGAGTGAGAGAAAAGGGTCAGTGGAGATGAGCTGAATATAAGCAGTTTGGAAAAGTCACAGAGATTTTTAAAAAGGGAGTATGTGATCAGATGCCCAATTTTGAAAGCCAGCTCTGGCAGGGCAGTAACTGTTGTAGGAGGGGAACAGACCAGAGGTACAGAAGTCAGCTAGGCAGAACTATAATGGTACAAATAACAAACACAATGTGTCAGCCAATATTCTGAGCACCTTCTATATGCTAAATCATTTAAACCTCCTAAAAATTATCTCTATTTTACCTGTGAGGAAATTGAGACACAAAGGAGTTTTGAAACTTGACTAAAGTCACATGACTAGTAAGCAGGTGATCCAAATTAGAACTCATTCACTCTGGTCCAGAATACATACTTTAAGGACAGTGCTACTGCCTTGGCTGGTGTGGTTCAGTGGACTGAGTACTGATCTGTGGACCAAAAGGATGCTGGTTCAATATCCAATCAGGGCACATGCCTGGGTTGCAGGCCAGGTCCCCAGTGGGGGGCATGAGAGGCAACCGATCACTATTTCTCTCACACATCATGTTTTTCTTCCTCTTTTTCTCACTCCTTTCCCCTCTCTCTAAAATAAATAAATAAAATCTTTTTTTAAAAAAGGTGGGGAGAGAATGAATATCTAAACTATGGCAGGAGCCATGAAAACTGAGAAAAGGGAATGGATTCAAAAGAGCAATGTGAGAGAGAAGTGTCCTCAGACATGGCAGTGCTAAAGCAGAGGGAGCAGTTGAGAATGACTGGCCAAGAGGCTGCCTTAAATAACCAGGTGGGTCACTGACCAAGGATGGGAGTTGTGGAGAAGCAATTGCTATTGTTATGTTGTGTTGTGGGGGGAAAGGGTCATTAGTACTTTGTCTGCTTTTGAATACGTAGCACAGGGTATCAAGTAAGACACGTACAGGAGAGAGATGGAAATAAAGTCTGAAGCTTAAGAAAAAAGCTGGGCGAAAGATACAAATTTGGGAGTTATCAGTGCAGAAACAGTAGTTAAAAGCATGGGACAGATGCAGTCATGGGGGGGAGGGGATTCAGAGCAAGCCAAAAAGAGAGCTAAGGACAGAGCCCTATAAGATACTTCTATGTAAGGGACAAGGAAGGAACCAGCAAAGACAATTGATAAGGATGAGGAATAAGAAAAGATGTTTCTTCTTCAGAAAGGCTGAAAGAAGAATGACAAGAAGAAAAAAATCAGTATAGTACAATGATATAGAAAAGTAAAGTAAGAAAAGGAACATGGGGCTTGCATAGGGCTGTTGGGCCATTGTAAGGAAGGACTTTGGGTTTTACTCTGAGTGAGATGAGGAGGATTTTCAGCAGAAGAATGACAAGGTCTAACTGACATTTTAAAGGGAAATCTCTGGCTGCCATGTAAAGGCCAGGACAGAAACAGGAAAGCAGTCAGGGCCTGTCACACTTATCCAGAGGGCCAGATGGCAGCAGTGGAGGTGGTGAGAAGTGGTAGCTTTTCTGAGATACTAGGGTGAAGACTTAAAGGTGATTGTAAAAGAATTTTGTCAAGAAAAGGACTTGAACAGACACTTCTCCAAGGAGGACATACAGAACATCCAGAGACACATGAAGAGACGCTCAATTTCGTTAGCTATCAGAGAGATGCAAATTAAAACCACAATGAGATACCACTTTACACCAGTCAGGATGGCTATCATAAACAAAGCAACAAACAACAAATGTTGGAGAGGGTGTGGGGAAAAGGGGTCCTTAGTTCACTGCTGGTGGGATTGCAGACTGGTACAACCACTATGGAAAACAGTATGGAATTTTCTCAGAAAAATAAAAATCAACCTGCCTTTTGACTCAGCAATTCCACTGCTAGGATTATATCCTAAGAATCCTAAAACATCAATATCAAAGAACCTATGCACCACAATGTTCATAGCAGCACAATTTACAATAGCCAAGAGCTGGAAGCAACCTAGGTGCCTGTCAGTAAATGAATGG